AAATAAACAAATAATAATAATTATAATGATGATATTAAAATGAGAAAAAATCAGTCAGTTATGTTTAGTATAATGGTATAATGTTATACTATTTTTCTCATTTTACTACAGTAACTATGCTTAGAAGTCTTAAAATAAATATCAGAAAACATATTGCGCTCTAACAATATAATTGTAATATTTACCGGGATGTGTTTCCAAATTACCCATTTATACAGTATGGGCATCGAAAAATTATTTGAAGTGACAAATATCTGAAAGATAAGCTCCTTTTCTTTTTAACTTTTAACAAAATGAACAGGTAATTTACTCGTAAAATACATGTAAAGCATTTAATAAAGAATTTAATGATAGGAAGATTTTTACTTTTTTAATTATTCATAAATAAACAAACAAATAAATAAAGGGATGAATAAATAAGTAAATATAAGTAAATTCATAAATAACAATATGAATACTAGTAAATAAATAAATGAATAAATATAAATGCATAAATAAATTAATAATAAATAAATAAATAAAAAGAATTAATAAAGATAATATAAGATAAATTATGTTAGTGATGTAATATAAAGTGAATTGAAATGTGATAAAAACATCAAATGGTTAAAATGTAATAAAAATGCGGTATATCATTATCAATAATATATGAGATGGTGTGATTTTTGTGTCATGAAAATCTATTGTTTTAATGATGAGTAAATATCATAATTATATAACCCGGTTCAGAAAGAAAACAGATCTCACTCAACCAACGTTTTATTTCAAACGATTTTATGGTAATATGACACATCTTCAACTGTTAATAATTTTGAAATATTATTCAAGATTATGCAGACATTTAACAGATAACTGTATGTTCCAAAGTGATTATTTAATGTTCTAAAATATCTTTACTAAAAGAGGTTGCTAAACTAATAAGCTTTCATTCTAGGCTAATCGTACAATCTCTTTAGTTGTAAAATAATGACCATTTTACTGACAGTCGATTTCACATTTATTTTAATCATTTTCGCTAGAAGTCAATAAATACACTGACCTAAGAAATGCTAGCACTGATAGTCCATTCATTACGCATTACGCTAAAATAATGAAAGTTAAACGTTAAGTTGATTTATTACACAAATTGTGAGAAGTTCTACACTATCTTCAGGTATTTCATTAGAAAGAATAAATGCGTTTTAAAAATGATATGATAAGATATACATTTCTAACTTTATGATAACTATTATGTAACACAAGTTAAAATTAAATAAAAAAACCGGATACATAACTGAAAATGAAACTAAACTATTAATTTTATCTAACAACAAAAGTATCTTAAAAATGCTCGGCCGTTTTAAACCAGGTTGCTTTGTTTATATATACAATTTTAGTCCTAGATATATTCAAACGTATGTTCAATGATATGTTTTCATAGATCATTTTTCATGTTGTATGTGTGTTTTTCTGTGTTTAATTATTTTTTTCAAAGAAAAAAAGAAATCATTTAACTTGCAATAAAATTTATGCATAGCATAGAAAGAGATTAAAGTTTCATTTTTTCATAAAATTGCATGCATTGTTACTGAAACAAACACAAAAAAGACAAAGTTGGTATTACTGAACATTCATCAAATGTAATAGAAATAACAAATAAATTATTTATGGAGAATTCTGATCTCATATCTAATTTCCTAAATGATATCGAAAATTAGAAACAAAAACTAAAAATCAATTTGAACATTGAAACATATCAAACATATAAAGAAAAGATATTTATGAAAGAAAGATATTGGATTTTAAAAGCTAGCATCAAAATTGTAAAAAGGTTGAAGGCACAATGTGTCCCAAAATATATCACAAAATTGTTCTATATGGACAATGAGTGAGTACTATTTTTTATGAAACGGTAACAAGATACCAAACCTAAATAAAACTAACAGCACAACATTTTTGAGGCATGACGTGCCTTTAAGTATTTAATACCAAAGATTATGAACAAACAGAAGTTTATGGCACAATATGTCTCAGAAATTCATACTTATCAAATATTGTAATATTGCGCAATATTATATTACACAAAACTCAAAGCACTGATAAGACATATTTATACATTTCCCGGAATTATATTTTAGCAGAATCAAATGATATGTTTAATTCTTTGAAAAAAAATCTGTAGTTGAAACATGATGAATAACCTCTCGTTTACTTCTTCCTTGAAGTTTCAATAGCCATTTTTCATTGTAATGTTTTGCTTATTAATTCGAATCGTCAATGTGATTCATTGTTATATTACGTTGTGTTAGTACACACACTTATACATTTTACATAACACATATGTTCTATTCCTTGAGAATATGAAACAGTCTGGGCTGCTACAAATGGCCGTTGTTGAGAGGTCATACTTCGGTTAAATCTGCCATTACATAAATGCTGAATCTGTTCGGAACATGAAAATACCAAAAGCACAATCGTATAATAGAAGATTTTTTAATCTTAAATATAGTTGGAATAATGAGACATAATTCTTATCGTTAATTTAGCACAAAAAACGTGTTTATTTTATCAAGATTAATTATGAATTATAATTATGACATAGTATAACAACTTTCCTTGTCTAGAAAAATACATAAATAAAATCATGTCAAGGTTAACGCATTTTTATCGAAATACCGGTATTGTGCTCGTTTCATGGAAAAACTGATAAATTGAATTCTTGTATTTTTCAAAGCTCTTAACGTACATAACATAATTTATTGATGAGTACCTGTATAACTTTATTCAATGTCTTGAAATATGCTGGAAATAATATTGTATTTAATATGATATTTAAAAATATATATGTAATGTTGAGCGTTATCATGTTACATTGCAATAGTGTGCACGTCTTTTGGTAATATATTATGGTTTTCAAAATTCGAGTATTAGTCATATGTACCTGCATCTACTACATAAAAAATTATGGCATGTTTTTATTTTTGAATCATATTAAGTTTTCCCTTCGTTGATTATGCTCTGTATCATTCTGTTTAGCATAACAACAGCATATTATATTCACATTTTCGTTTATCTGTTTGCACGAACAGCAGACATATACATTTCTCTAACAAACCTTTTTCCTTATCATATCGGCTTCTTGTGCAAAAATTTCATCAAATTGTGTGTAATAAATATAATTGTTTTAGCCTATCTTTAAGTTAAAGACTGTGTGGTGGAGGAAAGTAATATACTGTTTTAAAATGTTTTTAATTAATTGCACAATGCATAAGTAAGAAATACAAGCAAAATATTGTTAATATCAGAAAATACTATTTATTGTTTAAAAAATCTGTTTGGAGAATTCATGGTCAAATTTCGAAGGTATTAATATAAACAAACCTACTTGTATATTTAAGTTTCCAGAAAAATGTAGAATCTGACCGGTGTGAGAAAGTGACATGTTTAGAACAGTTCTACATAGCTATGAGGACAGACTTAATTTACATAGTCTGCGAGTTTTGTGCTTTTAAGGGATCTATCCATTCCAAAACATTACAGAAAAGCCAGCAGTTTTTATGTTTACAGTTTTATGGTTGTTTTTGTACTACTTTAGAAATATAAAAAATTCAGTAAAAGACAAAAAAAAAGATCTTCTAACAATAAATGTACATTAAGAAATAGGTAAGACGGGCTACAACAAACAATGTATGTACAATGTTAAACATTGCAATATTGTTAAACTGTTTTTGTATGTTCGATATCTATTTGTACAATAGGAAACAGGCGGGCATCTAAATAACGGAGTAATATGTTGTGACAGCTTAATAACCAACGTCTATAAAATGTATTATAAATAAATAACTAGTATAAGAATACGCTTAATAAACTCATTCTCTGATTGACATATAAAGAATGTGGCTGTATCATGAAATATTAAAATGTCGAAATTTGAATGCATACAAACAATAAAAGTTTAACTTCATACATTTACAAAATAATTGAATGTGTAGAAATTAAAATGTATCTTTTATTTACATACCCCGCCTTTGAAGCACGTTGCTCGATCTCTTTATCAATAATATTATTGGAAAAGCAACAAGCTGTTGTGAAACATTTATTTATTCAAGCTTTATAAATATACAATTCCTAATTGTGTTTTTGTTTCTTTTCAATTAGTACTTTGTCAATATAAAGCACTATTTATTCTGTGACAGGAGATGAAAATAACATAAATGTCCAAATTTATATTATTTCAGGATTTTGATAGTCAGTTAAATTTGTAATGATAATATAATAAATTGAAACTTAATTATTTACGGTTATAAGATAGTTTTATCCCAATAGTTTATCAAAATGTAAGATAAGAAATCTAGAAACAAGAATTTTATGTACGTTTTTTCAAAGATAAACATACCCAGCAAACACAAGACGTCATACTGACGTTAGATTTAAGTCAGGTTCTGACGTCGGATGACGGTCGGAAAAACGGTTGGATTTGAAAGTTTTTTTGACGTAATAATCTGACGACAGGTAGACGTCAGAATCTAACCATTATCTAACCTTTTTCTGACCAAAATCTGACCATTATCTAACCATTTTCCGACCTCAATTTGACCATTTTCCGACCTCAATCTGTCCATTATCCGACATTAATCTGACCATTTTCCGCCCTAAATCTAACCAGTTTTTAACCATTTCCCGACCTCAATCTGACCATTTTCTGACCTAAATCTCAAAAGTAACTTTCACTCCAATGAAATGTATAACAAAAAACTAGAGCAAAAATATGTTTTTATGAGTGTTGTTTTATTTTAAATAAAAGTTGCAATTTTAAGCTGATACATACAATTCTATTAAATTCTGCAAGGCTAAATTCTTTTTATAAATTAAACAAAATAAACCATAAAATAACATAAAATAATTTATTAACAAAACAAAAAGTATTACAAAAACAATGGCATAAATGAAACTAAGGAAACATATACAAATATTAAAGAACAAAACAATGTATGTAACAAAATAATGAAAATATAATAATTTTAAGAAAAAGTTAAAGATTCGGATAATAATGTTCCAAACTATTAATGACAGATTTTCAGTATTTTAACTATATTTCTACAGCATTACTAAAACATTTTCTGCCATTTTGCATATTTGCCTCCTTTTGATAATTGTCACTATGGTATAAATTACTTCCTTTTAGTTACTTCACAAAGTTATACTTTTAAATATCCATGAGAATTAGCACGAATCTGGAGGTGTGACGCTTTTATATATGACCTTCTCTCATGACCCCTCGTCTGTCCGGAGGATATGTTAATGTCCAATAGTGCTTGTGATATCATTTTCACTGAAAAAAAGAAATTTATGAAAAATGGAAAAATAACAAGCAAAAATGTTTTTCATGGTTATCTGCCCTTTAGAAATTTTGAAAGTTATCTTAACTGAATGAACAATTTTGCTAGCTTTTTATAAGAGAGTTTTAACAAAAATAAAAGTAAACATAAATTCTGAAAGTTTAAAAGGCCGCTTTAAAACTCCAGTTGAGTATAGATTATAGTATGTAAAAGAATTTACAAAAATCTTACTTCCCCATGTTTCTTTTTACATTATCACGTGTTTCTGTCCCTCCGACCTTTGAGAGCATGTCCAACACTTGAACTACCTGAAAAGAAATTTATATTTTAACTTATGAATATTCTACGTTTGAAATAGAACAGTTACGCAAGTCTTAAATCAATCATAGTTTCAAATTAAAGATTGTTAAGAAATTGTTGATAATAAATGTATGTTTATGAACTACGTTTTGTTAAAAAGTTTATGTTCTGTTTTGATTGTTTTGATTACATTTTTCCTACTAATGATTAAATGAAGCGTCATTCTATATTACAAAATCATAATTAGATAATCAATCAATCTGCTTTATCATTTATTTCCCGTTCATTTATTTGAATGATATAAAAATCTGGTGTAAACATATTAAGGTTCAGATTTATTCTGATCAAAAATTGGGCCAATTGGGAAAATGCCAAAACGTCTTGGGTTATTTGGGTCTTGGTCCGAAACAAATGAGGGACATTAGTGAATAACCTCCCCTGAGTACTCCCTATAAATAAATAGGTCTCAATTCTCAGATTTTAACTGACAAAAGCATCACAGTTTAAAAAAATTTGAAAACTAAGCATTCTCTTTGGTAGTACTGAAAGGCACATTATAAACTCTTTACAAGCAGAGTTAATTAAAACATGTCAAATTTGAAAAGATTAATTATCAGACATTATCGCGAAATTGTATGACATTTTGCTTCAGCTGTTCAAATAATGATAATTAAATTTAAGAATGCTTGCAATCATGCAATTATTTATCAAATACAAAGTCGAGATAAATTTAAATATATTGAACTGACCTTTTTGTTCAAGAAAATCCAAAATATTCACTTTATCAATGCATCCCAATTCCAGACCGCCAGCCAAAACGTAACGCCTACGAATTTGAATTTCCATTCACGTGGCTGTACGTATATTCGAATTATAGGTTAATTATGTTTTCTTTCCCTTTTCTTTCACAATGATTAAATGTTAAAGCACTATTAAAAACTCGTGATTTTGATACATATAATGTACCACAAATGATGTTATTATAACGTTAAATGATTGGAACTCGTAAACAGATCTGTGGCTATAAATAGATTTCATAACAATAACACATGTAACTTGCCTATATGCAGCGCCACCTATATGTTTTATTAGGTGGCATCGCCGCGATCTTGGTCTGTATATAGATACATTTCATTTGTAAGCCAAATAACATTTGAAAAAAAGTTTAAATGATTACAACAGCGAATAAGAATTTTTTTTGGTTAATTGTTTACCTACCGTCAGGACACCGACCAGAACCTGACGTTAGTACGACGTCAAAAAGAAACGTTATTTTAACGTCATGTGTTTGCTGGGTATTACTAATAATTCGTTTTTACATTTGTTATTAAGGCAAGTGTTTTAATTTAGGATTGATATAAGGACCCTTGGAATACAACTATTTTTGATGAATTATGTTAAATTAATAATGTTTGCTTACTTTACATGGTGCTATCTACCGTTATAAATTCAACGCTAAATAATCGAACGTTTATTTAGTTTGTACCTGGTATATTCTCAAGTTTCTTCTACGATTGCACCACAAATGTCTGTAAGTACGGTGTCACGTTATTACAGGCTGCAGTATACGACTTAATATCTAACTAATTTTGACATCCGTTCTACAATAAAATAAAGACATTTATCATATTTACATGTTTCACACGCTATAATGTGCTAAATGTCATTCCAACATTGAAATGTATATGTTTTATTATGTATAGTTTGCTAACACCCGTAGTTTTTCAAATACCTTGCTTATCATCCGGTCAGATTTATGGTTTCTAAATTAACGTGCATGTACAGAAGACGATGTTGAAGTTCGGGTCAAATACAGTCAATGCCTTATTTACACCAGGTCAGAAGAAAAATAATTTGTACATGAAAAACGATTATGAAACAGTCAGATTAAAGTATTTGACAATAGTGTCTATGACTGGTATCATTGTAAAACGCCGTGATATTTACAAAAGTCCTAATGCTCCGTTTCAACAATATATTGCATTTTATTCATTACATGTACACCAAACAATATCGCAAAACAACGATCCTACGTGAGAAGTTGGCATTTTAATAGTTAAAATACCTTACACGAGCGGTTTGTACTCTTAAAAATGATAAAATTCATTGAATGTGAATAAAGAAACATAATGCATCCTTTGTTTAGTAACTTTTAAAATTCAGGACTCATTAATCTTATTGGTTTATAGATATATCTTATAAAATATATTTTAAAATATTTATAAAAGTTCTCAAAAGCTTGTGGATTTTTTTCGCAAATCTTCCTCTGATGAATTACTGAAACTGCGTTAATTGAGGCAATATCTCGTTTTGCTATCATAATTTAAGCCATTTTGACCCTCTCTTGACCCTAGTTTATACCATACAGCCTATCACTATACTACCACTTTTCTTTCGACGATAATTTTCACAAGTATATTTGTTTGAATATAATTGAATAGTCACATTAAAAGCAAAAGCTTTTATTTTGATTTTGTTGATAAAAATATCAATATTTCTATTCATTTATATCGTTTTTATTTCAAAGTAACAAAATATTCATGCTTTATGATTTATACATTATATACACATTAAAAGTTCAACAAAGTATTTTATCTTCGACACTATTATTGACGCGTTTCGCTTAATGCAGTAGACAGCAAATAAAACGTAAGTAACGTTATTGGTACTAATTTGTTAATTTTGTGACCCCCAATCATCGGGGGCACTCCTGACCATAGAGGCATTATTTGCATAATTTTTTAGAGGTTTTGGGCGGCTGTAAAAAGTCTTCCCGTATACTTAATCAAAGATATATATTCGAACATTGAAGACCGTCCAGCACAATAGTATTGCTGTGAGTGCACGTGTTTGGTACTTTAAAGTCTTCTAAGTTTTGTTTTCCTAGTTGGGTGGTTCCAATATACCTCACTTAAATAATGTTGAATCACCCTTAGTATAAGTTGCCTTCTTTCTAGCTTTTTATTTTATGTTAATAGGCAGCCTTCATAACCTTACATCCCATCAAAATTCAATTTTATTCAGTTCCCGCCCATTGTTTTCTCCTTTAGGGCACACGCACTGTTTACCTGGGACCATATGCCGCTTTTCGCGGAAGTGCGCTTACTTCTCCTATTGAATGTTCTATGATAAAAGGGGGATGTAAGGTTATGAAGGCTGCATAACATAGATTTAAACTACCAAAGACGTGCACTCACAACAATAATTGTTTATGCGTTTATTTAAGGTCGCCGCCGGAAAGCCCATATGGGCGACCGTACACTCAAGTCGGGCCATTCTAGAGCGTCCCGTTGAGATTTTTCGTCGATTTTTTCCAGCTTTTATTGGTGGAGGAAGACCCAAGGTGCCCCCCGGACATTATTTCAGGCACGAGGGGCACCTGGGTGGACCCACCGACCTAACGTTAGCCAGCTGGATGGCTTCCTTACATGAAAGCTTTCGACCAGAGAGAGGATCGAACCTACAGCGTCGAGGGACCTAAAATCTCAAGTCTGCGACCTTAACCACTCGGCCACGGATGCCCCAACAATAATGCCGTGCTGGAGATCTTAAATAATACATTAATTAATACGTCACACATAGTAGGTTTTAGGCTCGCTGACACAGAGTAAAGTTAGAACCTACGATGTGTGTCATATTAATTAATGTATTATAAATAATACCCAACACTGGACGGAGAAATCGCATTATTCCTCAATATTTAAAGGCTGCAGAGGATTTAAATGTTTAAAAATGCATTATTATCATCAAATCCAGAATTACGACGGAATTTAGAAAATGAAGGTGAAGAAATACTTTACTTAATATTTTTGCAACAAGCTTTGCGGATCTCACGGCGTATAATCGATGTATAGAAAATCTTTGTTATACATATTTGTTTGAACGGTAAGTACTTTTTGATACAGTTACATCGTAAAAGAGAAGACTGGTAAAAACGGACGTTTTTTTCACCCTTTCTATTGTTATATTGAATTATACAAGTGTGCACACCATTTAATAATAATGTAAACCACCATTATATCATTGCCTTTCTTTTTTGTCATTTAGAAATGTTTCTTATAAATTGGATATCATTTTTTATTCGTACACTTATAATGTATATGATTTACCAACACAAAATTCGAAATATATGAGAGTCAAGATAATAATCATTGCTGAATTCCGATTGAAAGTTTTACAGAGCACACTTGTAGAGTTTCAAACAGTCGGTAGAATGTTTATTATTATAAATATTTACATAATTAAGCAAAATATAATTTAATTTTGCAAAATCATACACAAAACTATAAATTTGAATTAAATAAAGACTTGAAGCATAACGTATATAAACACCTAGAGAGTTGTTTTTCGTTTGTTTGTTTATTTTTTTTTATTTAAATTTTTTTTTTGCTTTCCTTCTTCTTCTTTATTAAGAGGGAGTGGGGTCATGTTAGATAAGCAGTGGACACGTTTATTGTTGTGGAAACCTGGTCATGTTGCCCACAAAGATCACACATAAAGATGAGTCAGAAAGGGGTTATCATACCTTTAAACCAGGAACTTATAACTTACATTGCGAAACAGTGAAAAACACTCATTGGTTCTAGCATAAGATAAGATGAGCACACTTTTCATTTAATCACTGAAAGTCCGTGCGGTAATTTGGCACCATAGTTATTAGTCGCCGGTAGAAACCGGCGACTATATTTGTAATAGTTTAACATTATACCTATGGTAGGAGAAGCCCTTAAAATCTGAAAATAAAAGAATATCAATCATTGACCAATTAAAGACAACAATTATTTTTCAGTAATCTCAAAAAATCAAACATATGATAACTTTGCTCAATGAAATGAAATATGCACATATTGACATCTTAAAAAGCAACATAACAATTTTCATAAAATGAATCAATAACGTATCCCCAAGGATCAGTCATTGAATATTAGGGTAACTTTTACTTTTTTCTATGTGTCAAGCATTGCTATTTTATAATATATAAATCATGAATGAAATTTGAAATGACACTTTAGAATTATTTGGTTGTTTATATTTTATGAGAACTATTATATTACAGTATTTTATCTAATTTTAAACAAATTCTCCCTGGACTTTCGTAAGAATCACGTGACTACATGTTTATATATGTTGTATATCGTTATAAAATCTATTAATAGTAACAGATTGCTGATAAGACAGGTAACTTGTTAATGGTTAGCAACTGATAAGATGCAAATCATTGTAATTTTGTACAGATAATTACATAAGTTATTTTGCATTAATCAGTTTCATACTTTATATCATTAGAAAAACCTGTTTACTCATATTTTACACATTAAAAATAAATGTTCATACCTTTTCCTTTCTTCTTGGTAAAGGGTTAAACCTGGCCCTTTCTGGAGATAGTTCAATAGTTTAGTTAAGGTTGAAAATCCCAAAATAATGTTATGCTTATGAGGCACATTATTGAAATATATAATGGTAATCGTTGATTTCGGTATATTCCGTCGGTTTCCGTCACGCAGGTTTCCAAAACGGTATGACGTTAGGGGTCCGAAATCGTATTAGATACATAGAAAAAAAATAATAAACTATCTTTGTGTTGATCGCACTGAAAGGCAATGTAACGTTAATTTTATATATCATATGTAACGATGGGAATACATGTATTGATTTCAACTAAATTATATATTTTTTCTATAGCAAGTCATAATAATGATGTACAACACTTTGACAGTAAGATTGTATTGTTTCATGAAATAATTAAACTCATATATTTTCATAGTCACTTTGCAAATATTCGATGATCGGTAATTATTTGTCGGTAATTATCTTAATCTGAACTAGTAACATATACGGATTTCAATGTATGGTACAACAGTATATGTATAAAGTACAATTACAAGAAGAATAACCAGCATAGCACTTGCCTTACAAAGCCTCAGTGACAAACATTACTCAACTCATTGTTCCTCTTATTTTTATACTTGAACCATTAAACTTATGTTTTCTTATACTTATGATAATACAATCATTTTCTTTCCGGCGACTTGATGCTTTAGCATCAAAATCTCTACTTGTCTCTAGGGTAATTATCAATACTCCCGTTATTTGTGTTATA